ATATATATATATATATATATATACAACAAAACACAAACGTATAAGACATGCAAATAAACATGGCACTAATCCGACTGTCAGGACAGAACAATTAAAGGTAAACTGAGTACGTAGAAAATTAAATGCAGCAGAAAAAATCGACAGTTTTATCTGGATTATCAACTAGAAATAAGTAAGAGATAAGTAAGCGAACTACTTCAGATAATATTATGCAAACTATAATTTTTGCCATGTATGCACTGAAATATACTGAAACACGCATGTATGGAAATATGCGAATATCTTTCCGACATACATAAAAATATATTCGTACAAATGAGTATACTATATAAGTAAGCACAAATACGTGAACCTGAAGAGAGAAAACAATGTTTCTTAATCACGAGAAGCACTACCACCATCAATGTTTACATATGCAAATATAAACATGTTCATTAAGTTATCATTAAGTTAGCAATACTTGTAAGCTATACAGTAAACCTGTTTTCGTTTTAAGATTATTTGTTTCATAAATCTCATTTCAAAAAAAACTTTTATGAGACATGACGTGTCATATGGCGATCTGGTAATATCACGTGGTCATAAAGTGGCATATATAGTATGAAGAATCTTCGAATAGCTATAGTTGCATTTTACTACATCGACCTTTTTAATCTTTGATAGCAATTAATGAATAACAGTGCTATCATATTTCATTTAAATTATAGCAGTTATCACTTTATTACTATCGATTATCAATGGAATTGTAATATGTTGATTTAGTGCTCAATGCAATGAAGTAGTTTATATTTTACAGGAAAAGAAATGGATGTTTTAATGTTCCATTGTAGACGTCAGCTTCTTACATTCCCAGTTTCATACAATACTCTAGTAAATCAAATAATTGGATTTCAATCATCATTGTCGTAATTTTTAATATTTCATTAATCTAAACCTTTTTTTTTTAATTTTTGGAATTTGAATTTTTATTTTAACATCAACGTCTCCTTCCAGAGCGGTGTTATATTATAGTATTGTCAACATCAGAAAACAAGCACAATCGAGCGTCAAGTAGTCGCGTAAGTTTCTCATCTAAAAAAAAGCACTTGTAGATCACTTTACTTATTTTTTTTTCTAGTAGTTAATAGCTCGTCATTAATGTATGTTCTGCTTAATCACACCACTGTTATTTTGGCATTTCGATTTTCATTCATTCTCTTGTTGTAAAGTAATATTCGGGCATGTTAAATTGCTTCAATCTCAGACAAGAAAAAAACTTGTAGTTATAGCGATGCCTGAAATGTCATCAGGTGAGGTGTCCAGCGCATGGATGTGGTATAGATCGTGGTTACGAGTTGTGATAGTATCTGTTATGGTATCCATTCTTGTGCAGGTACATCTGTATTTATTGTTATGTATATGTTCCATATCAAGCTGAAATTGTAAGGGTATTTCGAAAAGCAAATAGTAAAATTATTGCAGATAATATGGCCCCAAGCACAGCACTTTGTGACCTCGCAGTTTTTTATTTGTGAATGGCAGTTCACCCCTGGGTTTATTAAGCAGAGCAATTATTGCTCTTCTTATCTACTGAGAAAGCGCAGCATTAGGTAAGTATTACTCATCAATTACTCTTTAAAAAATATATTTCATGTATAGTTTGAATAACGTATGAAAATATAGATTAGTATCCACCCAATTTTGTTAGGATAGCTTCTCTAAGGACTGACGATTAATTATTACTATAATTATAATTTCAATTATAGTTATAGTAATAATTCCTTGTAACATATTCACCTGTCGCTTAGTTTATCGTTCCAAGTATAAGTGGGTCAGCATTCTCTGAAATCATTTTCCGCTTCCACTTTGTCTGGTCTGTTTCACGTTCTTGGGATTCTTGCATCAGTACAAGGTACTTATGCTTATGCTTTACACCTAGATAAACCTTAAATTCATGAGTTACTTTCCATGAAGTAGGCGTTAGGTATCTTGACACGCTTCGTTGTTTAACTGCTTCTGTAAGCATGGATGACCTACAATGCTAGTGATCGCAGCATTTGTTTGATTCTTCAGTTGTTGAAGGTTAATCGCACCACGAACTTCTCGCAATGCACAATACGGCATAAGGGCCATCTCCCTTCTTCACATTCTCCCGAAACGGTCACGTACCATTCTTCTTTACCTTGTTCTCTTGTCTCGTCTTCTTTGCTTCAGAAATACTGCAACAAGGGGTTGCATGAGCATTATCATTATGGTCCATTACTTCGCTTCTTGGAAATTGCCTGTGATTGGAAGGTTCTTCAGAAACGCGTTCCCAGTCATTAGATAAATGATCTGATTGATTGCTGGAATGTTTTGTCGTTTTACTATCATTTCCACTGTTCCGACATCTTTGACTATCCATACCATTACGTTTGTTGTTGCAACTGATCGTACTGATATTTCTACCGTTTACTTCCTTAGTAGCATCATGACATCGCTATAGCAGATAAAGGTAGAACAATGAAAGGAATAAAAACCATTAATAGTGAAGAAATAATGTGTTCTTTCGAAGATCAGGCGTAGTCTACGTTTATCTATCTTTTGGGTAATTAAACCATTAGAGTTATAATCATAATTATTATTAATTTTTGCCATTAATTGTTTTTAATTATTGATTATTATATTTTAAGTTATTATTATCATGGTTATTGTTATTATTATGTGGTTTTAGAATATATAAAAACAATCATTAAAACAATCCTCTTTCTGCTTATATTACAAATCGTGGCTGATAATAACTTTTAATTTACTGATACATTTGCTATTGGATTTTCATCAATACTTTTATTTTCTTAGTACTACCGATTTGGGATATTTTGTCGACCCACTATCTGTAGAGTCGTCGTATTTCATTGATGATGTGAAAAAATTCCATAATGCCCTGACTTCAGCGGTTCCAGCAGGTGTATTCAGTTGGAATTGGAAAACCGATAAGGAAGCAATAGCAGCTTTTAGAGCTGCAGTTCAGTCAAGAATGCGTGGAAATATGAAGAAGGTTCTCTAAAATTTTTTCTTTGTTGGATTACTTTGGGGCTTAATTCACGTAAAATTGTAGAAAAATGTTAGCTGTTCAGAAAATCTTTTGTATAAAAAGGGCGCTTATTTGCTATTGATAGTTTTTTGAAGATTAAACCAAACAGTTTTTCGCATCATCATTTTCATTAAGAAAAAAGTAATCATGTCGAGTGTGACTTCTAATATTTTGAACTTTAGAGCTTCATTAATTTAGCAGATAAATTTTGAAAATTTTAACTGGTATTTATTTATAGGCAGAGCTTATCATACGGCATGCGTTTGCATTAGCTCCACATCATCCAGACATCTTAACCGAATATGGTATTGTTGTTGAAATGGGACAAAAGGATTTAGTACAAGCGGAAGAGTTATATGCAAGAGCTTTGAGTTATAACCCTTATCATCGTGAGGCACTAATGTTGGTTCATGTTTGATGTTGTATTTTATAATTTCAGAAGACTAGTGTTACTTTTTTTATTTTGTTTGAATAAACTGAGTGGCATCATTATTCATATTCGTCGTAAAGTAGTTCAGTAAGATTTTTTTGATATTTTGTTCAGTACTTCAATGATTATTCGTGTAGAAGACGAGCACGAACCTTGCCTGCAGTGGAAGAAATTCACAAAGAAATGTTAAGGAAACTTCACGAAAAGCTTACATATTTTTTGCGGATACCCAAGACTAGCTCATCTTTGCGCAAAGCGATGAAAGAATTCTATTTTTTGCATGTTTATCATACTGTTGCTATTGAAGGCAACACAATGTCTCTTGGTCAAGCAAGGTAACGAATTTAATTGAGTTCGTTTTATATCGTTGTTTGTATAAATAAAATGAGTAAAAAGTGCCTGTTAGTTTTCTTGTCTAGTTTTACTCCGTATTAGATCCGTATTGGAAACAAGAATGGTCGTTGCTGGTAAAAGCATAATGGAACATAATGAAATTCTGGGTATGGATGCTGCGTTACGATTTATCAACAAAAGTGTTGAATATATTTCATATTTTACTCTCCAGGTTTGATGTTGTAAATAAAAAATATGTTGCTCATTTCTCTTCGTACATAATTCCAAACTTCAGTTTTTTCGCAGCGTTTTTGTTTTATTTTCTGAATTTCAGGATATTCTAAGCATACATCATCGCGTACTAGGATTTGTCGATCCAGATGCTGCAGGAGTATTTCGTAAAACTCAGGTTATCATATAATTTAATTTAGGCTTTTCGAAAAACATAATTCAGTAAAGTGCAAACGTAAAAACTGCGATGTAGATATTGTATAAATATGTTTTTTGGTCGACTAAATTTTTCACGGAGCATTGAAATGTGAAAAAAAGTCTAAATTATGATCATTTTAGAACTAGAAGAATTATGCCTTCCGATTTTCAGACTTGGTCAGATTCTGTAATGTTATTTATTTTATTTCCAGGTATATGTAGGAAGTTTTACTCCAGTTTCTGCGGATTTAGTGCCAAGAGAAATGGATGAAATGGTAAAATGGCTGAACAGCGAAGACAGCCTGCTACTTGATCCTGTGGAACGTGCTGCTATTGCTCACTATAAACTGGTTTATTATTTATTCATTTTTTGTTACAGCGATATTAGAAAATATTTCGCAAGGTTTCAAAGTTGATGTAATTATTTGACAGGTTTCAATCCATCCTTTCATTGATGGTAACGGTCGAACTGCACGGCTGTTGATGAATCTAATACTAATGCAGAGCGGTTTCCCCCCTGTAATTATACCTGTTGAAGATCGTGCTGACTATTATGACGGTCTCAGTGCTGGTAATCGTGGAGACCTTCGTCCATTCATTCGTTTTATTGCCCGTCAAACGGATGCAACTTTGCAGGTAAGCAGTGTTCAATTTGATTTTAGTTTAAAAATTTGATACATTAGATTAGTAATTTTTGTTTTAAAATTATGGATTAGGTGCACTGAATTTTCATCAATTCCTATCTCAAATGTTGTGCTAATTGTGATATTATTGCTATTTTTTCTTTCATTTAAGAAATTTTATCAATTTTTTTTTAATTTTCATTTTAGCTGTATATCAACTCCGCAACAACATGCGATTATGCTAAGGAATCTAATAAGTGCACTATAGGAACTGTTTCCGATATTTCGACGCAAGTTAAAGATCCTAATAGTTCTTAGTGGAAACTGCTTTTTTTTAATGACAAAAAAATAAGCTTTCGCTGCTTGTATTTATTATACATTCACATATACTTCTGTATGCTGATATTGTGTAAATAATATGTAGATGGTATTTATCGCGGTTGCATTTGTTCGCATTTGTATGTGGGCTATCTTAAAATTTTATAGTTTTTCAATTTGTCATCCGGGGACAATTTCAGTTTTTAAACGCTTCAATTTACAAATTTGGTAGAGTTTGCAGCTTTTTTTTGTGAAATATTCCGCTATTGTAATTATTTTTTCTATCGTCATCGAGTTCGCTCACTAAAATATCTTCTCTAATAATAATTTTGACTTTTTTCACGTTTTCTTTCTCTTCTGGAAGCTAGTACTGTGGGATATAGTTAGGAAAATTAGAAGTATAAGAACTATGTGGGAAGACCAATATCCTGAAAAATCAGTCTTCTATCAAGTAAAGCGTTTGGAAATGGGATTAATTTTGTTGCCTAAAACATGTAGTCTATGAATGAATATATCGCTGATAAATATAATAAAGATCAAAGATCGTGCGTTCTTAATTTATTCCGTTGTTAATTTATTATGGTTCTGCACATGTGAAGCGTCATAGTTCCTTGAAAGCTGTGCGGAATTGCAATATTTTTTTGTTATCCGATGATGTCAGGCCTTTATATGTAGTCTTAATATCTATTCCAAAATCTTGATAATATGAAGATTGTGTATGTTCGCATATTTATGATGTACTCTTATATTTTCGATAAAGTGAAGTAGGTAGGTTTATTTTAGTTCTTGTTTATACACTTGAGTAACACTTTTTTTTTGTCCTCATTGCTCATCTGTTCTTTTTCTTTGCTTTGTGTAATGATATTCAGCCACATTGGGATATTAAAAATTCTATATGAAAGCGAAGATTTCGAATTTTCTCGAATGAACGTGACCTTTACTGAAGTATTTGCTGAGGTTTATTTTACGTATGCTGTCTTAATCGTGAAGAATATGTTTTGTTTTCCATCTTTAATTTGACTGATTTCTTCGGGTAAAAGTGATAAATTTTTCATTTTATCCATTTTTCTGATTTCTTTTGATAAAGACTATAACTAATCACATTTAGTTGCGAAGTGCATCCATCTGCTCAGCATTTAAAATACTCGTTCTTAAAGTGAAAGGTAATATTTAATTATATGTAGAGCGGTAGAGTTCTTAACTTGGTTTGTAGTGAAGTTTTTATTTAAGATTTTAGAAGTATTAAAAACACAAGAATTACAAAACTATTGTTGGTGGAGATTCAGCTCTCTGCGAGAAGTAATATGGAATACAAATCATTTGGATGCCACTTTAAGAATAATTCCCTGCTGGGGCCCAAGAGTAATTTTTTGGTCATGAATTTTCAGTTTATCATTAATTCGGTACTGTTGTACATTTGGCGTAACAGCAATTATTGAAGCTGTCAATGTTTTGCGATCCTCTGGTAACACTATAGATGCGTCAACTTGTCTTTTTTCGTTGGCAAAGTTTGCTACGACCGAATAAGCCTAAGACATACAATCATTTACTATCAATAAATTATTCCTTAAGTGATATAATTTTCGAAGCTGAGTGTTTTATGACTATGTGAGATGAGAGTGTGGAACTTGAACAGTATGAAGGATGGCTGATATAGAATTTTCCTTCATTTTAAGATTGGTCTGTTTTTACCGCACTCAGTGAAGCAAATTAATTTTATTACAATTCAAGCAAAAAAAACTCACTGCGCCAACAGTCGAATCATTTGTTTGATGGAATCGACCAAACATAATAACATCATTATGAAGTGGTGCGATTAAAATTTTGCCAAGTGTAAAGCTATCATCAGCTTGGCGTATTTTCGCGACAGTTTTCATTGTTTTCAAGGGCGATTTGCTAACACTGTACTGAGCCTGCAAATCGTACAAGTATGAAAATAGTTACTTTGAAAACCTATTCCTTAACTGATATAATTTTCCAAGCTGAGTGTTTTATGACTATGTGAGATGAGAATGTAAAACTTGAACAGTAAGAATGGTTGATATAAAATTTTCCTTCATTTTTAAAAAGTCAGTAATAATCTGCCACTGCGTGCAACAGTTATACTTTAGCATGCAGTATAAGCCGGTGAGATGGTATCAATAGGCATTACCATAAAATTATCATCTTTGTAATTAGTTGTTGTGGAGAAAAATGGTTTTTCTCGAGCAGATGTGAAACCACCATATTCACTGCTATCCCACTGCATTAGACCAGTAAATTTATTGGCTGCACTATCAGCATCTTCAAGAGCTAATTCCTGTCCATAATATAGGTGAGCAATACCCGGTAATGAAAGTTGTAGAAAAGTAAGCAAAGTTGATGTTGCCTTATTGAATCTTGTGCTGAGACGAGAATTATGATAGTCTGTAAATTGCCAAGCATATGGAAGCTGCGAACTATGAAACTGTTCCAGCGATGAAATCAATGAAACATATAAGCAGTGAGCTAATCCTTCCAAACATGATTCCTGAAACTTAGTTTTGTGGGAAGTTAGCTTTTTTTTTCAAAAAGTTGTTAAATTCCTGAAAAAACTAACATTGTTGATTCTCGTGACTGAATTATCGATAATATATGTTAACTGTGATAAACTATTTTGTGAACTGTTTGAAGTCGGTAGTTCAACCAAATCATCCATTGTAGAAAAAACAGCGATTTCTCGTTTACCAATTGTTTCATTTTGATTTACGTGTAGTTGTAAAGAATTGATGAATTCATTAAGCATCTATAATACTTCATGTCTTTTTAGCTTCAAATTTTCTGATATAAGCATTTAAAATATCTGAATAAATGTAATATAAATTATATAAATTCAAAATTCATATAAATTCAAAATAAACAAATAATCTCTTCGAAGTTAAAAAAGTATGCTTTTACGTCTCCATTTCATAATTGCATATACCACTCATAACATGATTGCTGTGTAATGATGTCTTATATCTAATTTTCACAATTTTTAAAACCAATAAGGCAATCACATAGCCTGATTTTATATAATTCAGTCTCAAATGTCTTGTACAAGTAGCAAAATGAGATTTGACCATATAATCGTACCTGCGGGGCTGGTAAATATTTAACTATTTGTATGATGCCCTCTAAATAAAAACCATCAACTCCCAAGTTGAGGAAATTCTTGGCAACATCAAAAATACTTTGTCGTACATCAGGGTTATGCCAGTTGAGTACTGGATCTTTTCCATTATATGTTAAGAAAGCATTTTCATTCCCTTCTTCGACAACATAATTTTCACCAGTATTTACTTCTGATTTTTTCTTCCATATAAAATAATCATAGTACTTACCTCCTTCTTTCGCTGACTTAAACCTGCAAATCTCACAAAGTTAGCAAAAGCCAAACTTTTTTTCCAACAAAATTATAAATTACTACACTATGTATCAGAATGCAAATTTATGTTTAATATATAACGGCATCACATGATTTCCAACTTAAATAATTTATAATTTTGTTGGAAAAAAAGTAGTTATTTGAATTAAGAATTCTACTATGCACACATACCACTCATGTGATGAAGATATTGTCGATATTGGTAAATCCATAGTAAAGCGCATGCCAAGTTTATGTGTTTGATCTATCAATAATTTGAGGTCATCGATGGTACCAAAACGTTCATCAACACTCGTTAAGCTAATTATATCAGAAGGTTTGAAGTCATCCTGAGCCATTTTCCAGAAAATATCAATAAATAAGCTATTACTAACGATCAATAAAAATTAGATAAGCCTGAAACTTCTCTCATAATTAAATCTGAAATCTGCATAATATTACCAACCTTCTGAGTAGCTATTACTGGTGTTACCCAAATTGTCTGTACACCAATTTTGAGCAAGTCATCAAGCTTTTCTCGAATTCCGTTAAAGTCACCAATTCCATCACTGTTAGAATCACGGAAAGAAGGTGTAAATATCTAAAATTCGCTAATTACTTAAAAATACTGAAAATTATAAAAGCCTTATATACCTAGTATAAAATTGGTCGTAAATTTCTAGTTCCTCCTTTCTTTCTCAGTATGCTTTTTCTAAAATATCATTGAAAATGAACATGGAAAGTTATTAAAAAGGTAGAATTGTTGGTTGTAACCAGTCTGAAAATAAGGAAGCACGGCATAACCTGATAACTAATTTGTTTCCGCCACCATTCTGGTTCTTTTTTTGGTGCGCACTTTGGGCTGAATACAACAAGTAAAATAGCACCCAAAAACATTAGAATCCACGCTACCCAGAAAAGCGCAAACATTATGTATCTATAACAAAATATGTTTTAGTTTTTCAGAAAAGAAAAGCAAAATAAGGGAACTTTCAGTTGAAAATATTTTAATGAAGTCTCCAATTTCTTTTTCAAAAATAAGGAAATTCAAACTAAAGTATTTTCATTTTTGAATCTTAAAATTACCTGAGAATTTTCCAAAATGGATCATTGCGGTATTGTTCTAGTTGTTCTTTTGTAAGTCCTATAAATGGCCTTGGCTCACAAATTTTCGTTCCATTTTGCTCCTACAAAAAAATATATAAGATTTATTTTATTATCTACAGTTGTTTAGCTAAACTTCCCTTTTAAGTCAGGTAAAAACACTTTATGGTAAGTCATATTTCAAAGCAAGAATAATAAAATTAATATGGTAATGAGATTAATTTTTCAGTATCAAAATCAGTTCAAAAAAGAAGAGAATTTAAGATACCTGCTATGTAATGATTTGGTTTAATCATTTGAATTAAAAATCATGTGGTGAATAAATAATAACTGGTGACCAAAAAATAAGATTGTTCTTCTGAATTGATCTTATTTCCTAGAGTGCAGTGAATTCTAATGTATCGGAATTTTTTTGTTTAAAAAATACTCTATATTAGTATCCTATGTTAAAAAGATCAAAGTTTAGACTTCTATGGAACCAAAGTGAATAGGAGCAGATTAACTTTACCGGGTCAAAATTGGTTTCTTTCACCTCCAAACTGTGTATTTGAATCATCTGAACATTTTGCGGAAAAGGCATTTTTGAATCATCTAACGCCATTTATATCTTTGGTCTAAAACAAACTTGTATTTGCAATAAAAGCGAAATTAAAATGATTGCTTTATCCAACATAATTCAAAGATACAAAAATAAAACATCTAGTCAAGTAATGTGATCGCAAATTTTCATCAGTAAAAATAATATACAAGTAAATAATATTTTAATCTTATACTTCAATTATTAAAAATTGAGCTAAAAAAATGAATTTGATTTTTATGATACTTCAAACAAAATCACAAAAATAATATTTGCAAAAGTCAATATCAAACAAAATTGTTTGAAACTATTAAATGCAAAATCTCTCTACAATAATATTTGAAAACAAAGATTTTGAATGAAAAAAAAAGAAATCTTAGCAGAACTTTATCATATGTTTGAAAATCAAATGAAAGACTTGACAAGAACACTGGTAAAAAGCATAGTAAAGTAAAGTAAGAAGAAAATGACTTGTTAAGAATGATGCAGCTTTTTAGTAGTTACGCATTTCTTTCTTTCAATTCAATAAATGGTATTTAGATATCACGCGATTTCGTACTTAAATGTTTGCATTAAGCAGTAACTAGTTGATTCTTTCTCACTAGCATTACTGTGCTTGCTTAGAAGCTTGAATAGTTTTTCAAGCAAGAAAAACTTTCATTTTTCTCTCACTAACAAAATGATATTTTACAAGCCCTACTCATTTATGAGTGGTTTTTGCTCTGTAAAGTTTATATATGCAATAATAGTATCATACAATTTAACATGTTTGTATTTGGTTAGCAAACATCATTTATTATCATTTATAGCACTAATTTTTGTTATCGTTCTTGTAAAAGCTACGAAATAAAAATTCTATATAATTTTATACAGATTTTATAAAATATATTAGCATGTACGAAAAAATAGTTTTATTTTTCATGCTAATTTTAAAACAACTCACAATTATATTTTGATTACTCATAATACTTTTGCCTGTCATTTTGGATGCTTAACGAAATTCTATAATTTTAAAAATTTTATCAATTAACAGCTAACTAATAGAATTGAATATTTAGTTAGGTAGTTATGAGAAAGATTCAAGATAATTTGCAAATATAACTTTATGAAAATAATTTACATAAAATAATAAATATACTGAACAAAATGCAAGAGATCTATTATTACTTTTACGAAACAGAATAAATTGATGAAAGAATATCAAGAAAAAATATGTTAGAAGTACGAAAAAAATGCAAAGTAAAGACAAAATTTACGGATAACAATTAATAGTAAATAGTAGACTAGATAAATCTTGACTTCTTTTATCATATATCAGTTAGAAGATGTATTGCTTCATTTTTACTTCTTTTTTCTGCAACGAATATGATCTTTTAATACTCAATATTACACAGGAATGAGTTGCAATTTTGTTGATAATAGTAAGGAATTAATGGAGAAAACTTTTTGTGCTCAGGCATTTAGTCTAGACTTCTTCATTAAGGACTTGTAGCGATTAAAAAAAAGCTCTTTCAATAGATGACAACACAGATCTCATTAGTAACATTTTTATTACTAATTTTCGCTTCAGTTTTTTGGTCACCGAATTTTTCCTTGCCATATCGAAATTGAAGTACAGCTTGCTCATCTGACATCATACAGGTCAAAAACAAAACTGTTAAGTGTTTTTGAAGGCAAGAGAACATGAAGAAAAAGTACTGTTTTGATAATAAGTAGTAAATTTTATTGATTCGTAAGTTTTGTATTTCACAGCCGGTTTTTTTCGCTTTAAATGAATGCATATGCTAGATCTAACAAAAGAAGCATATAAGTGATTGAAGAATATAGTTGGAAGAAAAGAAGGCAAGGAATTTCAGAGCTAATTAAAGATGGGAGACTCAGTCTCATGCATTACTTTTCATCTTTAAAAATAAAATTTGTCAAAAATTTCAAACCGATAATAAATGTCTCTGGCATAGAATAGTACAGATAAAGTATGAAAAAAGAACTGCTTGCAACGATTAATTACTTTGACTTACTTCCAGTATCAATTCCCAAAATTTTCTTTAGCATGAACGACGCATTTAGTATTGAATAAATGAATGCAAGAAATGAAGTCACTGCTTGTTCAATCAGTTTTTTTCGTAGTTTATTTGCATTTAGTTTATTTCCCTTAAAACGGATAATCAACTGCTCAAATGTAATTACAGCATTAACCTGCTTTTTATTACTCTTTATTTATTGTGTAAATGTTGATAATTAATAGTCAGTAACTAGTTGTTAAAAATAATACAGTCAAAATTCAACTCATTTTTTGTTGAAATTTTTTTGCAAAATAAAATGATCCAAAGTCATAATAGTGCCATTAATTAAACTGGAAAACCAACATTTTCCATGAAAGATAGTTAGGACGAAAAATTGGAGAGTAATATAATTTAGCAAAGACAAATGAATACGTTGCAAATATAGTCAGAAACAGCACAAGCAATAAATTCAGTTCACTACCTGTATATATACATACACGATTGCCATCGACTTACAAGGGCATGTAAAAGGCCACGATCATTGTAATAATATCAAACTAATTAACAAGTCTACATTTACTACACTACCATGCTGCAGAGAGTTGATAATAACGCTGATATAAAATGAATAATACTATTTTACTTTTTGTAATGCGCAACAAAAAAGGGTAAACAAGGCGCAAATTAATACCTAGAGTGTAAAGATCAAATTTTGTAAATACTACTAAATACTTTGATTAGCAGTAATATGAATTATTTTGATAAATACTAATTTAAACTAGCTGTTTCCATAGCCTAAAAATCCATATGAATTCAAAAATTTTTAAATTTTTTCGCTCCCTTCTGTATGTTCATAAACATTATTTGTTTTAACCCTTTCTCATATAGCAATGTATTGCTATGAAAGAATGTTCATTCATCCCAACCATTTTTGTTTTAAATTTTTTCCAGTGCAAACACACTTTAAAAAACGTATGAATTTATTACGTCAAAAGATGAGATAATTTTCAGCGTGCTTCAACTGTATTTAGAAACAGTCATTTAAAAGATTTAAAATTTAATAGAAAATTTTAATGATAAGAAAATCTTCTGAGAAATCAAGAGCACTAGTATTATATTGTATTTTGAATTATCTTGTACGGAATTCAAAAACTTACCAACAATCTCAAATATATTGCAGAACCACAACTGTATACAAATAAATGGAAATTGAGAATAAGAAAAATTGTTGCATGTAGAGTGGTGAGTGATTGATGAATGCATGTGGCAGATCATACAAGCAAAAGATTAATTATCAAATATTTGCATAAACCTCTCAACAAGTGTTGACGTTTGTTTAATCATAGTAATGTGCTTTGAGATCTTTACTTCAAATTTCAGTTTCAATATTTGTAATCAGGTATATTGTAACACATATGGCAAGCTCCCATGGTTGCTTCTGATAAGTAAAACTGAACATCTGAAAAAGTAAATACGAAAAAATTTTGTCTAAAATTACAAAGACAAAATAAGCATAATCATTAAAGTGGAAAAGTTTATTTTTCAACTCTTTTCAAATAAATTGAAATATCGTGTCGGTGATAATAGAACAGCAATGTCACGACTTTTGAATAGTCATATATTGTTGAGAAAAAAGCAAATGCAAGTGTAATCAGTGTTTTGTACATTAATGGTATGAAATTTCTTGAACCTTTCCAAGATTATTTTCAAAATTTTTTTGTGACATTTTCGTAAACAAAAGATGTAATAAAGTGAAAGAAAGTTCAATATTTTCTTCATAAAAAATGATTCTAGAATATAAGAATTCCCAGCAACAAATACAACTTTATGTTTTAACCAGAAAACAGGAACAGAAACAGATATATATATCGGGTTGTATTCTGTAGTTGTCCGCGCTCAGATTTGTTGTGCTGATCTTTTTCGCTCCGTCCTCGTACAAGTATAATAGATAATTTCGAGCGTCTTTGAGAACTCCAGACTTACTAATTTTCTGCGTGCAACGTTAATGGAAGTTCAATACAATCCCATCCCAAGTCATCACATACTGAATTATCTTGATCCTGCATTTTATCTCTGACCTAGGCTTATTAGCAAGTAAGTCATATTTTCGTTTTTTTCTGTCTCGACTGCTGTTAACCTGTCCTGACTAGTGATGTCAACCTCAATTAGGATTACTTCACGTCGCTTCTTATTGTGTATCATGATATCCGGTCGATCCGCTTTTATTCTGATTGCAGTTTCCACTAACCTTATCGACTCTGATCTCAACGTTCTCATTCGCGATTTCCTGAACAGAATGGCTTCACAAGCGCGGGAATGCTTTCAGACCATACTTCTTGCAGAATCCCAAGTGAAAATTTAAAAATAGTTTCAAAAAATTTTTGAAATTCCAGCCCCAAGAAAATTTTTTAAATTATTATTTAAAGAACTAAGTTTCCGAAGACTTATCTTTGCTATAACTCAATTAATAATTTTTAATTAAAAAAATACCTTTAAACAAATTAGCAAATCTCCATTCATACTTGAAATCAATAAAAAGACGAATCATTATGGGATGCATCGCAGAACCTCATTGTGTCTTCTAGTATGGTCATGATGTAAGATTTTTCCGCACTGCGTTGCTAGATGGTCCACTGTCTTCACACGTTCCCCACAATGTTGGCAGATACTTTTCTCACCTAAAACATATTTCTATCTTGGAGATAACAGTATCGTGCCTCATCTTGCGGGGTAATGTTTCCGTATCGAAGCCATTTTGTTAAATCAACTATGGACGAGATTTTATTCGTCCGCATCTTGTATAGCTTTGCATGGTGGGTTTTCTTTTTTATTTCGCTATACAAGAACGTCTTCTGCGCTGTTGGCATCACTAGTTAGAACAGATTGACTGCATAAGCTGAATCCTGTGCTCAGTATTAAGAAGTCCACGTCCTAGCTCGTCCTTTGGCAGGTATATAATTTATTAAACTTATGGCGTGCTCATTCATAGCCTTGATGAAGTTCTTGCCATTCAGTGCAGTT